ATGGCTCCAAGCAATGGACTCCTCACATGATTCGAAAGCTTCAGCATCAGTTTGGCGACGATGGAATTTTCTGGATGTCCTTCAACGACATGCTGGATAACTTCAAGTGGATGTACAGAACTCGTCTTTTTGATGAGCGATGGACGGTAGCTCAACAATGGACTAGTGTCAGCATCTCTTGGCTTACCGGCTACCTTAAGAAGAAGTTTATCATCGAGGTCAAAGAAGAGGGCATGGTGGTTATTGTGCTCTCGCAGGTATGTTGATCATTGGTACTACCAACTCATACTGACATTCATAGCTCGATGAACGGTACTTCAAAGACTTGAAGGGGCAGTACGAATTTGTCCTGCAATTTCTGCTCAAGACGGCTGACGACAAGACTTCCATCTGCTCGGTTCGTCCGGTCCATAAGTGGGATCGACGTTCGATCAATTGCGAGGTCGAACTCGAGCCAGGCACATATGAAGTCATCCCCAAAATCACAGCTGAGAGATATTACTGGCTTCCGACCGTCCAAAAGATGGTCAAGATGGGAGCCGACAGTAATCCTCAGAAGTTACGCCAGATCGGTCTGCAGTATGATCTCGCTCATGCCAAGGGCGGAATCGTTGATGAAGACGAGGCCCTCCGCAAGAAGAAGGAACTCGAGAAGAAGAAGAAACTCAAGGGCAAGAAGCAAGAAAAGAAGAAGAAGCAGATGGCCGAAGCTATGGCTAGTATGGAGGCAGCGATGGTGCAGATGAGAAATGAGTATAATCGATCTCTCAACGAGAAGGACACTGAAAGAGATAAGACCAAGAAAGAGAAAGAAAAGGAAAAAGAGGAACCCGAACCTAAGAAGGAGGATGAGGAGGAGCCCATCAAGAAAGAGGATGATACTGGAGCCAAATCAGATAAGGCGCCGCCTGGATTTTGGCCAGAAGATTCTTTCAAGAGTGACTTGGAAGCCTTGACTCTTGGTGAAACACCGGCTGAGCCAAAAGGGGACCTGTCTTCGGTTGATACGAGTCAAGGAACCGAAGACAAAAGAAGAGATTCTGCAGACTCATCCACCAGATATTCATCTGCCGACCACAGAGGCCCTCCATCTCTCGCAAACTCACCAATGCTATCGCGAGATCACAGTCCCCAGCACAGTAGAAGAACAACCATGCAAAGCATAGACACAAACCCCGTCTTCACGCCTCCCACAGAACCAACCTCCGAGTCAGAACTCGACAGCTCCGACTCATCGTCCGTGTCCTCGTCAGAACCAGATGATAGCTCCTCGAGCTCAGACGACGATATACTGCCGACGTCGCTGCTCCACCGACTCAAGAAGAAAAAGAAACAGCCGTGGAATGCCGTGTGCGTGATCGGCCTCCAGGTCTACGCTCAGCACGCGGGCATCAAGGTCCGTCTCGCTGATCAGAGGGGCGATGAGGCCACCGAGCTCGTGCCTCCGAACGGCAGCCCTGTCTAGTTCGTGAGCTAGAAGAAAAAGGAATATGCCGTTTGATATACCGTTGTTTGCCAAGATTGTCCAACGTTGCGAGTTGTTGTTTGTGTTGATGACGGAGGTTTATATGTGTATTCCACGAATAGGAGAATTTATTGGGACCAGAGCAACAAATAGGATTCAACAGCACTCTTCTCAGTCATGTTTTTAGCATAGCGGTTTTACTTGTCATATATCATAAAGAATGAACAACTTGAACTTCTTTTTTCCTCTCCTCGCTAAGTTTTAGTGTGGATAGCACTATTCCTCGAACTGAGGTATACCCGAGACGCAATTTAACTACAACGCAGTCCGAGTCAGAACACATGATCAGTTGATGGAAAACGAAAATGGCTTTGACAATTAATCAATCGGTCGAGTTTATTTATTACATGATCTACAGCCGTGGTATCTCCACGCGTTCCACATTGACTACTGCTTCGGATTTGCCTACCGTCAAACAAAAGAAACGTGCGGCCCATTGTTTCTCACTGAAACTGAGCGTATAAATGAGCCCCGAACTAGCATAAAAAGCGTCCACCAAAAAGCAGTGCTAAAATGTCACATCCTTTTTGTCCAGTTCCTAACTTCAGACGCCGTTTCAACCGCACGGCCCAAGCCGCTGTTTCATCTGCCTTCGTCCCGTTTCACCATCCAAGCTCACCCCTACCAAGCCACCCTTGAGATTGACAAGACCGATCTACGAGATGGTTCCCGGCCAGGGTTTTTGAGTAATGGCTTGACAGAAGAATGATCTGAGGCAAGGCTCACCGTCGTGAGAGATTGATAATCCTCGGATACCTTTCCAACTCGGGAAGACCTTGCGGATGAGGTACGAGGTTTTGGATGAATCTATCACGATGCAAGGTTGGTCAAGAAGAGGTTCGAGCGTTGGAGTTGAGAGCATATAAGCTGGATAGAAGTCGTCGATAGAGTCGAAATCAGATCAAACTCAACTCAGCTCAGCAACTTTGCATTCATTCGCTTTTTTCCTTTTCATTCGCTTCTTAACAACTCCTTTCGTTTAAAGAAAAACTTGACCCTATTCATCATGTTCTCCAAGTCTGTTCTCATCGCCCTCGTGCCCTTTGCAGTGGCTGGTCCCATTGCTCCTCGACAGGGTCTTGGTTCTGGCCTCGGTTCTGGCCTTGGCTCTGGTATTCCCAGCTTTGGACTTCCCAGCTCTGGCAGCGACTCAACTGGTGGACTCCCCAGCATCCCAAGTCTAGGCTCTGGAGGTTCAACTGGAGGACTTCCCAGTATTCCTGGTCTAGGATCTGGTGGTTCATCTGGAGGTATCCCAAGCATTCCAGGCCTGGGCTCTGGGGGCTCAACGGGTGGTCTTCCCAGCCTCGGAGGTGGTAGCTCAAGCTTCCTCCCAGGAGGCTCTACTGGTGGAGACACCACAGGAGACACAACAGGGGATACCTCCGGCAGTGCTTCAACCAGCGCTCCCGCTTCTCAGCCCACAGGCTCTAGCGAGACTCCCCGTGCTGAGGGTGGTTCATCCACCTCCCCCTTCGGCAGCTTCCTTGGATCTGCCGGTGGCAGCAGCGGAGGCTTCGGTGGTTCCACTCAGAACGGTCTCAGCGGCGACTGCAAGGACGTAACTGTTATCTTTGCCCGCGGTACCACTGAGATGGGCAACGTCGGCACTGCTGCTGGACCTCCTTTCTTCCAGGCTCTTTCTCAGCAGCTCGGAAGCGATAAGCTCGCTGTCCAGGGCGTTGAGTATGCTGCCAGCGTTGGTGGCATTATGCAAATGGGTGACCAGGCTGGTTCCCAGAAGATGTAAGTCAAATCTCGAGTTCTGGAGTCGCTTATGTCTGACATAAACAGGGCGAGTCTTGTTAAGGAGGCTTACCAAAAGTGCCCCAAGACCAAGGTCGTCATGTCTGGATACTCACAGGGTGCTATGCTGGTTCACAACGCAGCCAAGTCTCTCCCTGCTGATACCACTAGCAAGATTGCTGCCGTTGTCAACTTTGGTGATCCTTGTAAGTCACTTCGCTCCCAGCAAACCCTCAGAAACTGACAACTCTATAGTCCAGCGACAGGCTATCCAGGGTGTTCCCTCTGACCGCGTCAAGATTATCTGCCACGCTGGCGATGGTGTCTGTGCCGGTACTGCTGCTATTACCCCTGATCACTTGACTTATAGCCAGGACGCCAACACTGCTGCCCAGTTTGTCGTTAGCAAGGTCAAATAAGTGATGCACTGGCTGAGCCAATCAAGAGATGAGTGGAATGATATAATGGAAATATAGCTGGAGCAGAGCTTCGGGCGTGGATAGGTTTAAAATTCTCCTGTATCTTATAAAGTCGCTTGAATATGAGTAAAATCAATCATTTCTATCTGAAAAACATATGTTAGTTTGAACGTATTGTGAGGCTGAAGAGACTTCCTAAAGAGGCGACTGCTATGTTGAGCCCGGAATCCTCTCACCAAGTTCCTGTGTCGAGACAGCATTAAGTATCGGCGTGAGCAATAGTTGGACCAGACGAAAATGTGAGAACATAGGTAAAGAATTTACATAGGATGGCCTAAATTTGACAAGTATGTTAAGTATTTAGGCCTAAATCGACCTAAACTAACCTAAACTTATGATGAAATCTTCACCTGGACCATGGGAAATCAAAGGAGAAGGGCTATTCATCCAAGGTTCCCTTAGCCACAACCCTACTTCTCCTTCTCCTTTGCGTCTCCTTCCTTGATGGCAACTGGCCTCGACTGGCGGCGTGTGGAAGGGAAGACTTTTACAACGGGTTCTTGAATTCATCAACAAGTTTTATGCATAGCACATCCTAAGATCTCCTAAAATAATCACAAAATCGTCAAATCTATTCAGTGTTTAGGTCTAAAGAACTCCTAAGTTTAGTCCAACCTTAGGATAAGTTCCTCTCCGTGCAGACCATCCGGCAGAAAATTCCAAGAGAAATGTCATCAAAATCAGCTGCCCAAACCATCTGAAAGAAGCCCTTTCCAGCAAAACAGACGGAATTCTGCAGGCAAAGTGTCAGAGGAAGTGCTTTTCCCGAGCAAAAAAGTAAAGGTGGGGCGTCGATTGTGAGAGCCCGACAAGTGATGGGAATGAACTTTCAACACCACAATGTGGTCCAAAACAATCAGGACAACTTCAACAGTCCTAACTAAGGACTGCAACATTCCACTGAACTCTCAGAAGCATGTTAACTGAATTGTCTAAGCCGTTAGTAAACTATGGTAATAACTGATCTTAGCGTTGAAGATCTAACATGTTACCTCGGTTTTAAGTAAATTATAAGACTGAATAGTAATTTCACAGTAATAAGTTACTCTACTGAATCTGTTCAGTTATCTATAGAATTTGAAATTACAGTTAGTTTACTTATCCAGTCATAAAGAAGGTATCATGAAAAATAGTTAGTGAGCATCACAGGTGAGCCAAGGAACATTGCATGGGAAGTTAGACGGGGAGGGCAATTCATTCATTCATTTTTTTAACTTTTTTTAAAAAAAAGGTCCCTCTGGTCTCGCCCCCTAGTTCTTCTTCTCCTCCTTCTTCTTCCCCTTGACCGCACGACGGCGGCCACTGGTCGAGCCCCCAGGCCCAGCCTGGACAACAGCACCAGGCATAACGGTGAAGTTATTCACCACGCTTGCTATAACATAATTAGCCTTGTATAATTAATAAGATATTGGAAGGTATACGACTGACCAGCGGCAGGAGCAGCGGCAGCCCGGGGCCGGGCAAAACAATCCTCTGGTCGGTGCCCCCCCCATTTGAGACAATGGGGGCACAGGTGCCGTCGGGGTTTGCGCCCACGACGGGCACCCGGCCGGGGACCACCGGTCTTCTTGGCGGCGGCGGCAGCAGGGAAAGTTGTTTGCACTCCCGAAGGAGTGGCCTCCGCGGAGGACTTTGGGGCCACGGGTGACCCAGGTGCGCTTGTCTATTAATATGTTAGTTCTTGAACTTGAGCATCATCTCTTGATAGACCGGACTTACAGAAAGAGATTGAAGCACCCCAGAAGGGGTGGCCTCCGCAGAGGACTTTTGGGTCTCCGAAGACCCAGATGCGTTCGGCTATGAGGATGTCAGTCATCATTCTTCCGTCACTTGAAGAGCTCTCCCTGAATAGAGCCAGACACCTACAACCGCAGAAGAGGGGAGTTGTTGCACCCCCGAAGGGGTGGCCTCCTCGGAGGACTTTCCGGTCGCCCAGGACCCAAACGACCACTAGGTTGTGTTAGTGCTTCTTGAGACGTGATTGGCTGACCAAAGTACTTACCAGACGGCGCGTGAAGTTATCCCTAGAAAATCAGAAATGTCAGTAACTTATCAACAGTACATAGGCAAAGAAACAATGAATATGAAGATCCAAGAGAGTGTAGAAGACATAAAGCGTCGTAAACCGTCGTAAAGCCAAGAAACAGATCCGCATGTTGACAATCAAGAGACGAGGCCAGAGAATAAAAAAGGCTGAGGCCGATATTGTCGGTATTTGAGGATACGTGAAGGAGAGAGAGCCACTCATTCGATACCGCGTAGGTAGCCATGAAACCGAGAGATAGACAGGATGTGGAAGGGATCAGGCAAGGTAAACAAGAGCAGCTGCTGAGTGAAAGCACAACGTGCAACAACCAGTAAAGCTCTTCTCGTTGACCAACACATGTTGATCAATCAATTGGTAGAAAGGGAAGTGGCATAGGAATCGCAGAAAATGTAAAGGCTTGGGAAGAAGTACTCACATTTTGTTGTTGTTGTTGTTGGATAAAGAGAAAGAAGAAGAAAAAATAAAAAAAGGAGGGGGCAGAAGAAGTTATATTCACGCGTCCAGCGAGCAACCCCCTACGTCGTGAACCCCGTGCGCGTGACACTTCTACAGCCTCACGCGAAGCTGGCACTGCACTGGCAGCCATGGATAAACTATCTACGCTTAATGGAAAATTGAAATGCCCGCCAATGAAGCTATCAAACTTGAGGTGGTAGATACATAGATTCACACCATAGCCACTCGTGGATCATTTTCACTTGAAGCAGGATGGAACGATAAATCTTTAGTCTAACCAAGACCTACATATTTCTCGTTGGGATATTGAGTACGCAAGTACAAAGACTTGCTTCGGAAAGTAGAAAAAGGTGGTTATCTCAGAGTGATATAATAGAGCCCCTTAACGATCCGCAATGCAGCAGGTAATACCCTTATTTCCAGTGCCAAACTCAGTCCACACGGATTCTAGGATATTTGGAAGATGAAATTCAACCAGGGGATAAGCTGTCTCGCGAATGGCGAGTTTCCAGGATGAGTTCCTCCAGTGATCACATGGCCAACTCTCTTAAATTCGGAATGGTAGGAACAATGTCACAGACAAATCTCAAAAACAACTCGTTCTTGAAATAAATAGATTCATCTGAATACATCAAGATGATCGATTCTCATGAGTCTCTGTACAATGGCACTAGGAAAGACTGAGCATGCGGCTTCGGTACTGTCCCCCTGAGCAAGCCCACTAACCACCTTGTCAAGATGTAGATACCAGTCTGAAGCCATTTTAGTAGTATGAAGAACAAATAGGATTATTCAATGAGGTGACAATAGCATTTGCGGGGTAAAGATACTCAATTGATACTCCTATGGAATGGACCAAGTTCAGATGGTTTTGGGAAACGATCATGCCACACTCCTCTGACAAATGAAAAAGGCAGAAGTCGTTTCCGAGATCTATTCGAGGAAGTGAATACGTGACATAGTTCAAATATAACTATAAAGAGTTCCATAAAGTTCAATGCCAGTGTATCGTGTCTTGTCATTTCAGGTCATCAAGCAAGACCCCCCTTTCACGTTTGAGGCCGGAGCTGTCTAAGGTACCCGGGTTGCCGGGGCATCAGGGCAAAACACGCGCAAGTTCGCAGATTCACAGAAGCAGATACCCCGCCCATTGCTGCTAATTCGGAACATAACGACTCTCCAACTCCTTGACATAACAACAGAGTCTTTTCGAAACAGCACAACCAACGATATTGGACAGATACTTACGGAAGCTTTCAGCACCAGACTTGACTCGCCTCGCCAATATTAAGAGATCATAGCAATCATGTCCATCGAAAAATACTTCTTCAAGAAGTCGGTTGTCGCCTCATCACCTGCTGCCCCAGCGCCTGCCACCTCATCACCTGCCGCCCCCTCACCGGCTAAGGCCCAGGACAAGGAGAATGACGACTCTGGCTCTGTTCTCGACAAGGAAACAGGCCTCATCCTTCCTGGGGACATAAAGGTAGCGTATGAGATCCGAGCTAACACTGACGTGGGCCCAGTTAGAAGTCTTCAAGACTCAGTGCGGGCTACAGCAAAGGTTCTTGGTCTTGAAACACAGGCCTCGACATACAGAGACTTGGCTTTGGGGCTCATCACTCCGTCAAGTCTCAAGAACAAGCTCGTCGCATTCATTGATGCACCACACGCGCTTCCGGACAAGTCTCTTGTTCCTGTTGACGCGTTCCTTGGTAAGCCAAACAGGGGCGATTGGGATACTCATTGCGTGACAGTCAAGGAGTCCTGGCAATTATTTTGTGCAAAGGTCGACTCAATTTCGGGGGGCCAAATCGAATTAAAGCACATGGCAGCACCATCCGGGCCAGCTCGCTCAAAGGTCGCTATGCTCTGGCACTACCCGACCTTCACGTCTGGGAACTCAGTGTACAGTCATGTAATGGACCCGGACAGTCCCAGTCTTTGGGCACAGCAAGTAAGTGTCGAGTATTGGTCACGTAGTTGGCATGACTGATACCTTCTTTAGAAAAAGATGGGCCTAGACGATGGCATCAAGACGCTCGACATGTTCCCATTCCGCCTTGACTACAACCACGACAATGGACCAGAATGGGAAAAGCGGTTCGAAAATTGGCCAGCCCTTCGAGAAGCTTGCCTGCAACATGTCAAAGAGATCATCAAAGATGACCGCCTTCTGGTGGTTGTTGGAGATGAGATCTGGCAAGAGACAAAGTGGTTAGTCAAGAGCCGTCGCTGGACGCTTACATACGTTGAGCTACAGGTAGACATTAAGATGTTCAGCGCCAAACCTAGGATCTATCTCGCCCAAGATTTCCAAGGCAGGGTCCAACAGGTGCTCATTCGAATTTGGCATGGTCAGTATGTATATCACAATAGCCATGAAGAAAGGGGCGCCATCTGGGATCTCATGTGGAATACCGCATGTGAGATCGCAGGTGTCGAAATCAAGAACCCTGAACTACTGACTTGGGCAGCCACCCATTTCTTAAGAAGCTCCTCCCAGGACCCCGAGGTGGCTCAAACAAGGCCTGGGTCCTACACAGTCTTCATGAACCTAAGGCGACGACAGAATACCGAAGGCCGACTGTTGTCCGCTGAAGAGATTCGTCAGTATCTGCCTGCCCTGTTCAGCCGCTTTCCAGAGCTCGGTGACCTTTTACAGCAGGCTAGTGATAAAGGACATGCCGCTTTGTCCGCTGTCGAGCAGCACTTCAACCAGAAGTCTGTACAGACGCGCCAGGACAGAAAGAATAAGCGTGAAGCCGAATCACCAGCCGCCGCTCCTCCGGCAAAGCGAGTCGCTACCGACGTCAAGAAGATCGAAGCTGCAGGAGCGTCCGCCGCCGCCAGAAAGACCAGTCAAGATCGAAAATAGGAAGCCCTCTTGAACTGTCATCAAGTGCAAGACGCGGAAGCACATCGACAAAGTCCGGACAAGACACTAGAGCAGTCTCGAACCTTGGAGCGAATCGACAGGCTAAAAGAATTCCGAGATATCAGTGGAAAGAAGTTCAGCGCCGAACTAGGCAGCTTCGTGGTTTTTTACCATCCAAAGAAGTATCCTCGAGGCCTGCGGTTCCTTCCTGAGCATGGAGCCGACCCTTATGCTGGTAAACATCATCCAGCTGTTATCATTGGCCAGTCAACAAGACTGCTGAACGCCATGGAGAGGCATAACCTTGCCGGGCCAGTTGAGTAATCCTGACAAAAGCCCAATATCCATACTTTTTGAGAACCATGTGGTTATGTTACTTAATCACTTAATTTTGGTAGTGTCACTTGTCTTCGATGAGTATTGTCAAGCCGTCACGCATGTTTCTATACATCGGACGCCACTAGTTCTTTTTGAACTGGTGAGATCGCATGTCTTCAAGACTCGGTCACAGCCCCTCTTCTTTTGAACTGGGAAGATCGCAAGCTCTCGTAAGCTGCGCCCCGTTCCTTTTTGGGTTCGGTAGGATTGTTCATCTTCAAGATGTTCGATGCCTGTCCATATTTTGGTCAGTAAGGTTACTTGTTTTTATAGACAGTGACATCTTGGAACCCTTCAGGGGGAAGAGATCTCCCATTTTGGCATTTTGGGGGGCCCTACGGGGTAGGGTGACGAAGTCGGACTCTGCACCTCCACGTGGTGTTGCCTGGTAATGCCCTCAGGGTAGCCAACGCAGAGACGCAAATACATGGGCGGCGCTTTGGAGAACCTTTCGAATGAACTTGATTGCTGGTGTTGAGGCACGACAAGATGGCGATGGTGGAGTTCATCAGGCCTCTTTCCAAAAACTTGTAGAGTGGCCTCGCGAAGGATGCTAATGTTTTTAAAGAGTGGCGTCCCAAGCTTGACCAGAAACTGCCCAAGAATGAAGCGCGAGGCTACGGGCTATGTTGCAGCGATGCATGACTGGATATATCTTCTAGGTCGAGTTGGCCCAGGGTATCAAAGTTCGAAGTTCAAGTTGACGATCCGCTCTTATTGTCTGAAATCTATATCTGTTTGTTCCGTTGGGTTTGCGCAACGAATGGGTTACCCATATCGCAATTCATAAAGGAATGGCTATCCTATAACATCGATAAGTTCAGCTTTACCTGTCTCTGTATTAAACAGTCTGCTCAGGTGCATCCAATAAAACAGTGAGTTTGCGACATGAAACTGTGCACAGCTGTCAAGATTGGTTGTTGGAGCCCTCGTAACAGTGGAGGCCAGCAAGGCATGTTAAGCCATCTAACGGCGGCTACCTGAACTCAACCCATTTACGGGCTGTATTACCGTAGTCTCTGCTAAGGCACGTAGCCCAAACTGGCTAACTAGTATAGGAGCTGAGTCGAAATGTTCTCCACAATTGTTATTGCACAAGGTTGACTGGTCTAACGGTTAGGACAGTGTCCCCCAGTCTGGTCATCTTGCCCCCAGGTAAGCTGGGAGCCAGATGACTGGGTGGTGTGACTCAAGACTGGGTTCAATTCCCAGGTCAGCTATGAAATAGTTTTCTTTCTTTTTTTTTTTTTTCTAAGAAAACACTTAGTGCTATCGCGTTAGTCTGAGTATTTGAGAATTTTCTTTAAAAAGTCGTGCTTAAATGAAAAGGATTTATATAAGCAGTAAGTTATCTAACTGAGTGTACATCGAAGTCTCTATAGTGATTACTATTAAG